GCTATTGTCCTGTTTAGGGACGCTGAAGGTTGTAAGAGTGCAGGTCTTGGTCTCAAAGGACAATGATAATATATTAATTAGCTGTGCATATGGCTGTGTGTGTGGGAGTGGGTGGTAATGAGAAAGGGAGAGCAGCTTGAAGAAAATGAAGGAACCTAATTCAGGGCTTGCTGGACTTTCAGCCTGGGGTCCTCTCATGCATTCTTTTAGTAACTGTGTGCGTTTGGCAGAGACCTTCTGTGAGAAAGGAGTCTTTCTCAAAGAAAGACTTCTCTGAGAAAGGAGTCTCAGAGAGGTGATGTATCTTTAATGTCACCCACCTAGTGAAGATTCCATAGGCCTTACAGAGAGATGTCCTAGGTTAGTGTGTTTTGTCTTGCTGAAAGGGCTATGGTGAATAAGGAGACTATGACTAAGTAATCTTTGAAAATTCTGTGCTAGACATTTCTGTCATAGAGCTCAGGCGCTGTAAAATGGTCATGTTTCATTGAGAAGCTTTAAGAAGATAGATGGGATGTATTGTGGCCTGCATCCATTGCCATCCACTTCAGGGCTGACTCTAGATGGTAGTATATAACCTGTTTGCAGGGGTTCAGTGGTGGGTGAAGATGCTGCACAGTTATGCCTGTGAGCCTTTGCAAACATAGTGGGCTTTTGAATGTTACTCAACAGTTAGGTGAGGTAGTGCAGTTCTGGACTGGAAGCTGTTTCTCTACTTAGCGGTTACACAGTGCCCAGTGGGTTTGGCCACCCATTCTTTACAAGCCAACTAAAAGCCAACTTAATAATGAAAGCAGAAAAAGGGGATTTGTCCATTGTGGCCACATTACTATGGATGGACTTGAGAGGGGTTGTCACTGGATATTTATTCTTAAATAATTAGCTCCTTTAATTGCCTTATTGAGGACAGGTGGCTTGTTGGCGCACAGGATGTTAGTCCCTAGCTTCCTTCTGGAAGCTACCTCACACTGCTTTTCACAAAGACAGAACTTCCCTTGAAAGGACTAGTTCTCCTGTTTGACTGTGCTTTTCCCTGGGGCTCAGTACCGAGTCCTCCACTTTTCTGAACCTGTGTGTAGCCTGTACTTGCATAGAATAAATTCGGGAGACTTAGCTGAAAAGACAGAGCACCCAACTAGCAGAATCTGCACAGAATCTGCAAACTGGGGCAGGCAGTTGAGGGCTCCAGTGGAATCTCCCTCTCTCTTCTCTCTTGATCCATGTTGGCAATTTGTCCTCCTGCTTGATGGTCTCACAGTTGACTCATAAAGCTGTAACAGCTACATTTGAAGAGAAGAATAAATAGTTGGGTAAGTTTGGACTTAGTAGCCAAAAGGCTGTTTTCTCAGCTGGCTTTGTCCATTTCTTAATGCACAGAGAAAAAATTTCCCAGTAGACCTCTTTTTTTTTTTCTCGTTTATTAAATTAGGGTTATGTGATTACCTGTAGCTGTGGACAGGTGAGAACGATCTGGCTGGCATAGATGGATTATGGGGTGTTCTATTGGGCAGGCACATTGTTCTGTTTTTGGTAAGCTAGCTTTGTATTTTTTGTGTACGCTGGAGCGTGTGTGTGTGTGTGTGTGTGTGTGTGTGTGTGTGTGTCTGTCTGTCTGTCTGTCTGTCTGTCTGTCTGTCTTCTGTTTAACCATCTATTGAAGGACATCTGGATTTCCTAGTTTTTGTCTGTTATGAATAAAGCTGGTATAAATGTTTATATAGACTTTTCTTTGAGTTTAAAAATTATGGTAAAGTATATATAATTTTTCATGGCCTTCTTGAAGTACAGTGACATTAGTACATTCATATTGTTTGTATAGCCATCAGTTGTTGTGATATATATATGGTTTTTCAAGACAGGGTTTCTCTGTGGCTTTGGAGGCTGTCCTGAAACTAGCTCTTGTAGACCAGGCTGGTCTCGAACTCACAGAGATTGCCCTGCCTCTGCCTCCTGAGTGCTGGGACTAAAGGCATGCGCCACCAACGCCAGGCTGTGATATATTTTTATGATCTAACAAATAAAGCTTACCTGAAGATCAGAGTACAAAGGTAGCCATACTAGTTAGCCAAAGAGGTCAGACAGTGGTGTTACTCACTTTTAGTTCCAGCACTCGGAAGACAGAGGCAGACAGATCTCTATTAGTTCAAGGCCACTTTGAGCTACGCGCAATTGATTCAGTCTAAAAGAGAAACAGAGCTCACATAAAGGTGATCTTAGAACTTGGGATCCCAAGCCTTTAACCCCAGCACTAGAGAGGAATACATGGTGGGAGACAGGAGCTCAGTGCTGTCTAAGGTTTGGTGGAGAGCAGTGCTGTCTAAGGCAGTCTGAGGACAGGATCACCCTTCAGTCTGAGCATTGGCCAGGGTTAGGAGCTCTCTAGTGACAAAGCACTCTGCTTTTCTTTTTTTTTTTTTTTTTTTTTCAAATTTTTTTTTCAAATTT